TTTATTTATCATACTTTACTTTTTTTAATACAATTTAGATTCGGATCGTGCGCTTATGGAATTAGCACTTCAGGTTGTAGGAATGAAAATGACTGGAAAACTAGAAGACGCAAGAAACATTGCCATGCGTATTGTTGGAGGTACCGATAACAATCAAAGTTCGGTCAACAATTCTAATGGAGATATGAATGGAATGCAACATCATCTCTCCTCATTCGCACGTCAGGCTTCAAGAACAGATGATTTTGAGGAACATGTAATAGCAACACTCTCCTTGATGGATACATTTGAAACAGAATATGACAGTATATCCCTTCAAAATCGTCAAAATCACACCATGTTGCATATAGCTGCTATGCTGGGTTACAAACGTCTATGTACGTATCTCGTTGAAAAGGATATTGATGTAGACATGCAAGATAAATATGGATTTACTGGTACGTGTGTTTTGTTTATAAAAGGATTATGTTAAATGTACACTTACTTATAAATTACGTAATTTTAATTTGTATAGCACTGCATTATTCCGCATGGACTGGAAGAGAGGATATTGTGAGATTACTTTTAACGGGTAAGGTTTTTTTCCTTTATGTTAGTAACTTATTAATAAATAGGTAACCGATATTTATCATTACAGCTGGTTCCGATGATATTATACTTAATTCCAACGAGAAATATGCATATGATTTGGCTGCGTCTCGAAACTTTCATGATATAGTTTCTCTGATTGCCAATCATCGTGTTGATTCGGGGGTGTCTTTATCACCAACTTCATCTGAAGAATTTTCGTCTGAAAATTCAGATTATGATAGCTGGTATAATAGCGAGGACGATGAACTTAATTTGGATAATAATGCAGGAACCCAAAATCCAGTTGAGCCAGATCATGATATGAGTAACGTTAGCATTGACAAAGTATCATGTCAACATGCAAATGATAACGTGACACCTAATATATCTTGGGTTGACGCGGAAACGGCAAGTGGCCTATTGCATAAGTTGAAAAAAGAAGATGGGATCGTAGATGCGGAGGTGGTTGATGAAGGAAAAAAAGTTACTAAACAGCCTTTGTGTGAAATTGCCACAGACCTGGCTACAGCATCAACTATTTGGCTTCAAAGAACATTTGCACATATGCATATGCCAAATATAGGCAAGCCGCCACAAATTAATATTCAATTGCCTAACATTAAGATGCCAAACCTTCAAATGCCTAATCTACAAATGCCAAACCTTCAAAATTTCTCATCTCCAAAATTTTCCACAATGACTTTCGGAACTAATTTATCCATTCCACGACCCTCCATACCATCCATGCCTTCATTATCAATGAATATTGAATTTCCTACCTTACCGACTGTAACCTTTCCAACAATGATAATGCCCACGGGATTTTCAAATCTTGTAAAGGATGAAAAAGACATGTCTTCTGGAGCTGAGATGTGTGATATGAAAATGGAAGGCATACCACAAAACAACTGGGACCATCACAAAAAGACATTATTTGGTCAAGGGGAACCACAGCAGCAACCTGATAGGCCATCTAAAGATATTCCACATGATGAAACAGTCTTTACCCGATTTGGTTACCCATGGCCTTTCAATGGTTCACAACCAATAGTCCCAATGTATCCACATCAACCAAATGAAACACATTCTTCCAGATCTGTGAGCGTTTCACATGCTAGCCGTCGAGTTGGTTATGATATTCAAAACTTGAATGAACATCAACTTTCACGTGTAGAACAACATACAGAAAAGTTCCGAAGGTTGAAACAGGATAAGATGTTATATTTATTTTGGGTTCCTATCTTTTGGGGTTTGTTATTCAATTTCATTTATTTTGTTGAATTTTTTTTTTTGTTTTAATAATGATATATATCTTATATTTGTTTCTGTTTTATTTAGTGATGCTTGCATTAGCCATTGTTCAGTTTAGCCCCATTAGCATGGAATTTATTATATCTTATTTCCGCTGGCTATAGGATAATCTTATAAATAATATTTAGTTTACATCAAAAAGTTCTGTTGATTGTATTATGTATTATTCATTATTCCAACAGAAATTTTTTGTTTTTTTTATGTATTTCAATTTGGAAACAATCTTCCCTTGTAATTATACATTATTATTTTTTTTTTTTTGAATATAGTTTTTCATCTTTTATTTGGCACTTTCGAACTAGGCTTTATTATGAAGAATATTGCATGGACTTTAATTATTTAAATGGCCTAGTTTGATTTCATGTTTATTAAATTTTAAATATTTCAAAATAAAATATTTCGCAATATAGAGATAATTCAAATTATAACAGTATATTTAAATATTTTAATGTACAATCTATCAGGCTAAATTGACAATGATTTGTAAAAGACTAATTAATATAATATTAAACCGATTATCATTTAAAACTATTTGTATAATTCATTAATAACCTTGGCGTCACATGATCATAATTTCGTCAATTTATACGATACGCATACAGTCAGACCTCTCTATAGTCACCTCCTCTTTAGTCACATTTGCTTATCATCACAAATTTTTAGGGCCAACATAAAGCACAAACTCTATAACACCAAAATTTTAAAACCAAGAGTGTGATTATAGAGGTTTGACCGTACACGTAGGAAAAACGATAAAGCGGACCCTATGCCTCTAATGCAATGTTCCTCAAGACTAATTTAATTCTGTGTTTTACATTTCACCCTCCCTTTCCTCCGCTTTCTCCTCTATAAGGGGAATCGGTGTATGACGATTATAACTAATAGTCTAGGGGGCTATTTTTTTTATACCCCATATTTATTGTCACGGATTATCGTGAAATCGGATTATCGTGAAATTTGGATCTATTTTATGTACGATTTTTAAAA